AATGACCAAGGGCCTGAGTTGGAAATGACTGGATGGTAACTAACAATACAAACACTGGGAAGTTTCGGGCAAAAAAAAAGAGAAGTGGTCACACCCATTATGTCCTTCTCCAAGGATCTATGGTCCTTTGTTCTTCTCCAAGGCTGTGGTCATCGACACTCAGCTTCCAGCTCTAAAGCTCTGTGTGAGCACTACATTATCAATCCAGCAACAGACACCAAGAGGATCCTCCTGGGTGTTACGACCCATCAAGATCATCAATGCCTTCAGCATCCGTAACCCGGATTTGACCTGTACTGTTAGAGTGAGGTGATGGTCTCTAACACGCAGTCGTTCATTCAAAGATGGGCAATTTTACATGATAATATAGGAAGGTGTCTCGTCAATGTTTTAAATATTATTTTATATACTTCAGTTTAAAGAGCAGAAATTATCTGTATTTTGAAATGATAAAACAACAGATAGAGAAATCTGATTTACCAAAAGTTGCAAACTTAATTTCATTAAGTGAATAAAAAGCCTTTTGTAGAAGTAGACTTCTCTCCTTAAGAATTAAAGTGTAACCCTGGGGAGCAGAGAAGTCTAAGAGGACCTGGGGTGGGGGTGGGATGACAGAATTGACCAGGTGGTCTCAATCCTCACCAGAGACAGACAGTGCCCTCAGTAGGGCAAACAATATACGCTGCTCCAATTTAGGCTTTTCCTATTTCAAATGTAAAACCCAACTGGCAGGTCACATATCAAATCCAAAGAACTATTTTAAAAATACAGAATATCTTACCAAAGATTTTCTAAGAGACTCAAAGTGACAGATGGTAATCAGAACTCATACTCAAAAGGCTTCCACTGTAACTGGAATTAAATCACTGGTAAAATAATGTTATCAATTTTTCTTTAATAACAAACAATGTTGAACCTACATTTTAAATACGCTTAAAATCAGCCTGGGAGGAGTTTAAGCATTAGGGATTTTTTTTTTTAAAAGGCAGAGAACTTTGAAGAATTCTGAAACATTAATGCATGACTTCAGTTGCCATTTCTAGAATATAGATGAATTCTTTAAAATTTAGCTGCGTTTTCTTTCAAATCAGGTAGAAATGTTACTTTGTTTCAGTAACTTTTACTTAGAAGTGGTTGATTTGTCTAGTATGTTACTAATATTCTATTAGCTTTAATACTCATCTTCTTAAGTTTAAGCTCAAGTAAAAATGATTTTCAAATTTTACTTCTGAATTTTAATGCCCTAAAAACAGTAAAATGTTTAAGAATCACATAACCAAACTAGAAATAAGGAGCAAAGGTATACTTTTGCACTCTGTATCACAAGCTAAGCTACACTGAAAAGCCCAGTTTAAAATCCTTTCTATATTTAATACTTGCTTGCAAAAACACTGATATAGTTACGGGCCCGTGGCCTATCACACAGACAGATAGATTACATTTTAAGAAGTACTGATATAGAATGGGTAGCAATATACCTGATTAGGTGAACAAACAGGAAAATCTTCAACTGGTGGAATTAAACCCTGAGCAATCAATTGTCCATAAGAGGGGGGAGCTTCTCTTCTTAACAATTCTGCTTCTACTCTGGACAGCTGGGTTTCAAATGACCTTTAAGAATAAATGGGGATGAGGGGGGGGGAAAGGTTAAAAGGTGAAAAAAAAAAAAGGAAAGACCAATAAAAGATATTTTAAATTAATAACCATTTAAACCATATGAATTTGAGTAGATTTGAAGCATTTTTAAAGCTCATTCAACAGACATTTCGGATGTATTTGAAAGCTCTTAAAAGACACTTTATTCCCATCCAACTCTCATTTCCCAAGTAGGGCAGAGTCAACAAACGAGCCACCAACACACTTCCTGGAACGGCTGGTTCTTGAACGCAGGACCCCTGACTCTTCACTGCGCTGTCGTGCTGCAATGTGGTAAAAGGTTTCTTTGGCTATATGTGTCCAAAGAAAATGTGTAGCACTGATTATTCTGGTACTGCACATCTGAGTGCATCTGTGTCTTAACCACCTGATATGTGAAGCCTCTTGTCCTATCTTTCACTTGTAACTGCTGGAATTGAAGGTCACTGTCTTCCTAGGGGAGCTTTCTGCCATCGGCATCTCTCAGGCTCATCCACCCTTCACCACGCTGAAGGTCAATTCTGACAGTGGGCCTCTCCTGGAAAAACGCCCTTACTAGTTAACCACATCTTTCTGAACTCAGAAGAGATCTCCAGCACGGCTCCGAGAGCCACTGGATGCAAGTCTTGTACTCCCATCTCATGTTCCATTTGTCCTTCATAAGTACTTCAAATCCTCCATGTGCGGACTCTGAACAACAGTGAGGTTCTATATATCATGCCCAGCCTATTTCCCCCTCCAAACTACCTTTCCTTACTACGTTCAATTACAAGTTGAAGGTACGTTTCAAGTGGTACCTCACAATCCTCCATCAGGTCAGCTCACTTCTGAGTTTATAACAATTTGTTTTCTAATTCCTATTGCACTTATATTTTTGCCCACTATATTTTTCTTAACCCATTCTGCAATCCTTTCCACCAAATTTCAAACTCTTTGTGAGATTATTATGCCTTCTACCTGAAACTGGCGAATTAATACTTATAAAAACATGTTTCAAAAATGACAACTTATGAGCTCCACCTTTATGATAAATCAAGATTAATGTAGACACAGAAACTAGTAAACAAACTAGTCATCCTCTAAGTAGTTATTAGTTTTTCACACAAGTTTTATATATTCTAAGAGATATTTATCCATTTCTAATGGCAAACCAAACTAGCCTGCTAAGCACACCCGTGTTCTGGGTCCTGTTTTCACGGTCGGAACCATGACCATGAAGGCGCTGCCTGGGTACCGACCTGCGCTCAAACATTCTTAGGGAATAGAGTTTGCAGGTACATCCCAGTGCAATGACGAGCAGCAGGCCGCAGATCAGGCTCCCGATGACGGCTGCAGTTATGACCCTGGTAGGCACAATGACCGGGCAATTCTCCTCATCGCTGCCATCACCACAATCATCTTGAGAGTCACACACCCAGCTTTCAAACACGCAGCGGTTGTTTTTACAGTGAAAATTTCCTGGCTGGCAGAAAAAGCAGTTTTTTTCGTCGGAGCCATTCGGGCAGTGGTTCTGGTAATTGCAGCGGTCTGAGCGAGGGTAACAGACCCCATTGCGGGAGCAGGGGAATTCTTCCTTTTGGCACATGGTGCAGTTGACTTCATCCCTTCCGTTCGGGCAATGCCAGTAGCCGTCACAGCGCTGCTGCTCCGTGTAGCAGCCCCAGTTTCCCCCGCAGGGTATTTCCCAGGGCAAGCAGAAGCCATCCACCTGGTAAGTCGCATTAAAGCCTCTTGCAGCATTCACTTTATCGGCGCAAAAATGTACCCTTATCTGCCCAGAAGAAGACACAACTGTAAGAGGTGCATGAGAGTCAAAAGCAGTTAGCACACGTAAAAGTTTGTGCGGGTTCTCCTCCAACCCATCATATATTTTGACATAGTCACCGTAACCAGTCCCATCCAGCTTAAAGTCGGTGAAGCGTAAAATGACTTTGCGGTGGTCACCGGTGTCTATGAGCCAGGTGCAGTTGCTTCCCGGAGGGTAAAAGTCTGGGTAATTGGGGGAATTGAAAGTGCCATAGAAGTATTTCAACCACTGCCCACAGGTGGGCACATCACAGTCGATCTCATCCCCCAGATCGAGGCAGTCGATGTTGCCGTCACATTTTAAGGATTCGGGGAGGCAGGTGTAAACTTTGGTAAAGCGCGAGAGACACTGGAACTGGTTGTAAGCACAGGGCTGAAAGGAGGCCGCCGCCGCCGGAGGTGTAGCGTCCTTGGCACAGACCTCTTCGTCGGAACGATCTCCACACTCATCCATGTTATTACATTTCCAGGCTTCAGGTATGCACTTCCCACTCCCACACCGAAACTGGTCACAAGCACAGCTGGGTTCCTCAGATTTCCCTGGGGGCAGAGGGTGGGGGGAAGTGGGGAGAGGTGAGGAGGGTGGAGGAGACAAGAGGAGAAAAATACACTTTAATTTATACTTTTTTCAGTTCAATTTTTTTCACCGAGTCAACACTTTTGAAACGTACAATTTACTGACATCAATTACATTGATCATGCTGTACAGCCCTCCCTCAGAATCACTGCCAAATCTCCCATGACCATCAGTAAACATTCCCTACAGACTAGTGAGTGATACCTTTTATGATCCAAACTGTTGTAAGTCCAAGTGATAGGGGTTTCAAATAACTTATTTTAAAGAATAGTTAAGTTCTAATGACAAATTTGTGCCGGTCCATTAATTATCCCACAACTCATACTGCTTTGTATTGTTTAAATTAATCATAACACAATCTGAGTAGTATTTTATAGTTTCTGTTGTGTTACCACACACTAGCAAAGACAGATTCTTAGAGAATTCCAAGTTTCCTCGGGTTTGTTTCTAAGTGTACAGCAATAAGGAGGCAAAGGGAAAACACAACAGGAGATCCCTAACCAGATCCACTGCCATCAGTCAATTCCAACGTACAGTGATGATAAACGAATAGGAACTGCGCCACTGTTTGCAAGGCTGTACTTCTACACTGAAGCAAGCAGCCACCTCCTTCTCACAGGAAGGAGCTTGTGGGTTTGAAGAGCCGACCTTTTAGTTAACCACCAAGTACTACAACCAATGAGCCATGAGCTCCAGCTCCTTTCGAGACCCCTAGAGTCCTCAAATTTTGGCAACGCTAGGCTAACATGTATTCCTCTATTATCAACCCATTTACTGGTAAGTAAGTGACAGAAAATGTGATTAAAAAAGTATATGATAGAACGACTGTATTAATAAAAAAGCATGTTTATTAAAGAAGAAATCGTAATTAAATTTTCAGCAAATTCAGGTCTCATGCTTGAAATTATTGAATTAAGTATGTTTGACCAATTCCTCTGAATAAAGTTTAAGAATAGCAACAGACTTTCTTCTAAGAGTATAAGCTATAGAGGCAAAACTGAGCACATCTTTTCTTTAAGGATTTACAGACAATGATGAATCACACAAAACTCTATCGTGAAGTAAATTTCAGGGTATAGGTACACATTTGAGGGAGAAAACATATACTTTTAGAAATATGCATGTTTAAAGTATCTAAAAAGAAAACTGACCTTAGCTTTTGATGAAATGCAGCTTTGAGACTCGGCACTAGGTCACAGGTTCTTAAGCTTATTTGGCCCACCACCCACTTTTCAGGGCTGGGGAGTTTTTTTTCCCTTTCCAGCAATGAAAAATTGCTGTACTGTAGCCCATAATCCAGGACACAGTGTAGGCGTCTGCGTTTGCAGCCTGTCCTGGATTGTTCCAAGGACCCCAAAGTGGGGTGCTATCACCCACTTTGGGAAACACTGCTTTAGGGCAACTAGAAGCACAGCCTCAGCTCCCTGGACCATCTAGCCATCGTCAAATAGACAATGTTTCAAAAATTATCCTCAAAGTGATAGAGCAGTTAATACTATAAAATTTAGTGGATTATCTTTTTAAAAAGCATATTTATTTAAAACATCTTAAAAAAAGAGCTAATTATCTTATTAAAAACACACCTGAGAAATATGCCAGTCTGAAGCCTTTCCTAGATACGCTGTCGTCTGAATGGAATCTGATCCACACGTGGTCTTGTGAAGAAATATATGGAGGGGGTATTGTGGAACCACAAGCTCTGTAGCTTTCGGTATTCTTGTATGTTTCTATTGTCAGCCAGTCCAAACTGCATCTTCTGGATCCTTGAATATCAAAGTCCTGAAAACTATAAATATCAAAGAGAATATTAAAAATAACTTAAATATAACAAAATATAACTGAGGACATTATTTTTATAAACCTCATGCATTGTTCATTCTCCTAGGTTTTCTAGTTATACAGATCTATTATTTACAAACAATAGTCCTTCTTTGTTCCTAGAATGCATAACTTTGCAGAGTCAAGAAAATACTTATTTTTCATAAATAATACCAGATCATTCCCGCTCAGGCTGAAAACACAGGGGACAGTAGCAGCCCTTTCCTCCCTCCCGGGAATGCTCCCCCCTTTCATGAAGCACCGTTTTCATGCGGTGTTTTCTTCTTTCAACTTTAAGAATTCTTTATCAATAGGCTCACTATAAACATGCAAATGATACAGACATTTATAGAGTAATAAGTAAAAGAACTTCTTTACAATCTTTCCTTAGGCTACTGCTCAGACCTTGAATATTCATTCAGTGCTTATGCTGTGAGATTCTGGCCGTGAACTCACTTATACCATACACATCAAAGGAACTTGAACCCTGCTGAGGGATGCAGATATATATTTGCTTGTGTCATTGTGCTACGGTTATATCACAATTTATTGACCTGTTTTCTTTTGACAAATTTCCCCCTTTAAAGGAAGGCTCTTCTATCATTGGTCACATCTTGCTAATCAGACACATCACATTACATTGGTTCCCCGGATTTTTGTCTGGTTATAATGTTTAACTGCTCAGAAATAACTGTACTTTCTCTGCCTCTTGAGTTCTAAATAAAGCACATGATCTTTTCTAGTCTCAATTAATAGAAATTCTGTACAATAAAGAGTGAGAAAGAGAGAAAGGGTGCTGTGTGGATTTAGGAGGGCCACTTTAATTCAGAACACCCTAAATGATTCTGTGTCTGAGGCAGAAACTACTCTACAATCTGACAAAGTACCCACACGGCTTCCTGTTGGGTTGGATTAGGCTTTTCATAGCCTCACTCAATGTAAACTTTATAGTTTACATTTACAGAAAAATCTAAGTAAAAATAAAGACATAAAATGAACACATAAAAAGCACATAGGAAATGAACCGGTGCTTACGAAGGGAACTAAAATGCCTTTTTCTTAGATCTAAACAGGTCTCACCAAAGAGAGGTCTACTTCTCTTTGCCTCTGCCTAACTAAACCATAATGGAAACCTAATTGGCTCAATAGCTGTCTAACTGCAGCCAAGGCTGATCGTCAATTGGTTTCTCATTATTTCTCACTAGAATTGTAAATAAAAGCACCCTTATACATGTAACTCTTGCTCTGCTTATGGGAAAGCACTTCTCTACAGTTCTAAAAGTAGAATTGCTAAGTCAAAAGGCAATTCTGCTTTAATTTGTTAAGATATTGGTAGCAAATGTTTTTAATAACTCATAATTTCACTGAAGTGTATTTAAGCACCACACAACTCGGGCAAAATTTGACACTCTTTGCTTCCAATAAGGTGGACAGACAGATTTTTATGTTCTGTTTCACACGCCTTAATTACTGAGCGAAGCCTTGCGAGTATAGTGGGTCAATCATAACCACAGGTCAGCAGTTCAAATTCACCTGCCACTCCAAGGAGAAAGATGAGTTTGCCGGCAATCTCTATGTTTTACTGTGAATTTCTTTAAATTCTTCGTTCATTAAAAAATATTAACCGCAAGACAAGCAGTTCAAAGCCAACAGCCACTTCACAAGAGAAGTATGAGGCTATCAGTTCGCACAATGGCAGCCTTTGACACCCCTATCAGGTGGTTTTGAGTTAGAATCAACTCTATGGCAGAGTATAAAACCCAACAAACTAATTAATAAGCCCAGTCAGATAATCTAACTCTTAAA